ACGTACTGTGGTACTGATTATAATGACTGAACTAAAAGATAGCGAGTGCTCCCCCTTCGGCTGAGTGGAGGGAATGGTCTGCAGGACAGAAACTCACCCCTCTCTGGTTACCCTGCTTATTGAGAGGAGTCTAAATTGCGATAAATTATATGTGTAGGCTCTATTAATGGCCTAATGCTATTGGAAAAATTGAATAACTAGAAGCAAATGTAAAGACCAGCAGTTTAAAACTCAGACGAAACTGGCTAGCACCTACTTCTTTTTAAAACATGAGAAAAATTGTAATAGAATTAAGCTTCAGGAAGTTGAGGTTAATTTTTTAAATTATTCAATTGATGTGAAATTAAAATTTACCTAAACCTAGGTCCTATTGAGAAAATCAAACAAGGTAGAAAACTGGGTAATTTTAGAGGCACAGTCAAAAGTGATTTTATTACTATAGTTATAAAGTTAGCTATTATAACAGGGCCATTTAATGATACCTGGACAAAGGTTAGTATTAATGTAAATGTTCTCAGACCCAAGTAAACCTGCTGGTGGGCTCATGCCTGTGTGTCTGGTTGCCAACCAGACATCTCAGATTCAGAATCTTAGAAACATCTCAGCTCAGTGTGTACAGAAACATCAGACAGACACACCCTAGCAGTCACCAGCCTCCAGCTTCATTGCCTGTGTTCCTATCTAATTAACGGTGCTGCCCAGGAAGAACACCCAGAGGCATCCCTGATGCTTCCTTTCCTTCCCCTCTTACTTGCTAAGAGAAAACAGAAAAACGTGAAATATGGTCCCTACATACCCACAAATAACTTACATCTGCTTGGAAAGCTAAGACGAAGACAAGACAAATACAAGACAAGTTGAGCCAGTAAAGATACAAATTAAGGAATAAATATACAAGACCCCTTATACTTGCTAGTGAATTTTATGAAACCACTGTGGCATAGGGTTTCAGGAAAGCATTCAGTCACTCCAGGTACAGGTCGTTGAGAGGTAGCCAAGGGTGTCGTGCTTGCTCTGATGACCTGTGGTTTACCGTACATCTGCCCTGATCCTTTTAACCAGGAAAATACACACACAAACAACCCTTTGTTGATGGCTCTTTCTCTCAAGCAAGGTGTCCCTTGCAGTTTTAATCTTTTCATCTCCTGAGCTTCCCCAAACCACTGCTATAAATGCCTTGTAAGGTTGGCGAGCCTGTGTGCCTGCCCCTCTGGTGCTGTTTTTCAGCATCCAAGTGCTGTACTACAATGTTCCAGGCTAGAGTTCAGTGGATACTGATAATGTTTCTTTAGTGTGCCTTGGTTGTGAAGACACCTCCTCCTCTCACCCTGATCCCCAACGTCTGGCCTGTCCTTGGGGCCTACCTGAGCCACAGTCATTGCTTCAGGACTGGTTGCATGGCCTTTTGGAAGACCTGCCATTTAGTTGAAAATAACTAAAATATTGAAGCACTATTAAATTATTGAAATGTGGGACAGCAGCAGATCCAAGTGTTAAACCATAAAGGAAGTTAGATATCAGCTGTGGATTGATTACTACTCAGTTTTTAATTCTATGTGAGCATCACTTTAGTAGAAAGTGTCTCCTTATGCTCTGGCTGCTGTGTCTCAGTGCATTGAGTGCCGGCCTGTGAACCAAAGGGTCGCCAGTTCAGTTTCCAGTCAGGGCACATGCCTGGGTTGCAGGCCAGGTCCCCAGTAAGGGGCATATGAGAGGTAACCACACATTGATGTTTCTCTCCTTCTCTTTCTCCCTCCCTTCCCCTCTCTCTAAAAATAAATAAATAAAAGGAAGTGCTTCCTCAGTTTCCTTCAGAGCACTCTATCCTCTTACTGGGCACATGCCTTGATTTCCTTAATTTCCAGGCATACTGTTAATCCTAAGAGCTAAAGCCTGCTTCCAGAGCACAGCCTCAGGCATGAAGCAGCGTCCCGAAGATTTCCACTGGTGATGACTGTGCTTCTTGAGTTGGGGAGAACCATTTACTCTCCAGTTTTTTGGACAATAAGGTTCCAGGATATTTCTTAATCTTTCTCATAGCCCATTACTATCTTTTTGTCTTTTTTTTGTGTATTGCTAAAATGCATTTAGAATAAATTTTTGACACATTGAAAAGGTAGTAATGTAAAAAAAGAAAGAGTAGTAATGTTCCACTCATTTGTAGTCACCTATCTCAGAAACATCAGAAACATATCCAAGAACCAAAAACTGAGGAATAAAGGCCTCTGAGCAGTTGAAGTTGTTAGAAAATCCGTGTACTTTACTTACAAAACTATTCCTCAAGCCTTCATTCAGAGCCTATTGATTTTTGCTTACAGTGAGCAGAAGCTACAGAAGGTAAAAGTGGGGCTCCTAAATATAGGTTCTATTTGGAAGCCAATAAGAAGAGTTTCATAAAGTACAGACTGCCACTGTGGCTTTAATGTATCTAAGCAGACAAACTCACTTAATTCAGTAGCCCCCAAACTATCAATATGTTTCAGTTTAGTGTAATAAAAATCATCCTAACTGTAATAATAATGCGCATGATAATGATCCTGAGTCATTAAGATAGAATAAATTGTATTCAGAGAAGGATAGAATTTTTTAAATCCGTCAAAAATATTTAAAAAATTTTAAATGTTTGGTGCTTGAAGGGGAAACTTAGAAAATTCATTTTTTTAGGTTGTAAGACAAATTTACTTACATTCCTGATTTCTAAGTTAAGTTTTATTGAAGCATATTTAATGTAATTGGCTGACAGTGATGATGACTTGTATTTGTATAAACTTTGTAGGTTTTTCGTTGCAGTAATTCTATGTGATAGATGGGAAATGGGCTCTACTGAGACCCAAAATGGTTAAGGTTTTGGCCAAGGTCACACAAGTATAAGTAACGACTACTCTCCACCACCTCGCAGTACTGTCTATATCCTGTTACAGATACAGGCATACTTCATTTGATTGTGCTTCACAGATGTTATGTTTTTTTTGTTTTGGTTTGGTTTTTGGTTTTTGGTTTTTGTTTGTTTTCTTTTTTGTCTTCTACCAGTTGAAGGCAAGACCCTTCAACACAAAGATTAGGACTTGCTATGTTGCAACACTGGCTTTATTGCAGTGGCCTGAACCTGCAGTATTTCTGAGGTACTCCTGTATTATACTGTTGGTACCACCTGATAGACACAGCCACAAGGACCCTTCTGGGTGGGGTCCTTCAGCAGGGGCCTCCTGATTTTCTCCTTGAACTACAAAGTCTACAGCTGCCTGAGGAGTTTGTTAACGCTCCTGCGTACATCTCGTTGAGTCCTACAGTTGGAATGACTTAACAGTCCCTCACCTAATGGTGTCACTGGTGACTCCCTTGTTCTGAGGGAAGGCGGTGATTACCATGCTCACACAGTATAAGCTTTTTTCTTGTAAAGCAGTTTTAACAACGGATTTCAGTAATAGTTTCTTGATTTTATTATGTTTTGTATTTAGATGTGTTTCAGCACTTTATTCACACTTGGTCTTAAAACCTCCCTGAGCCAGGAACAGAGAAATAAAATTGAGTGCCTGCTTTTTGTGCTTTGTGCTTTATGTACATTATGTAATATCTCACGATAATCCTTTGAAATATTGATATTTGGTTCCAGCTTACAGGTGAGAAAACCAAGGTTCAGAAAGTTTAAATAATTTGTCTCAGATTTTGTAGATAGTAAATGTCAGACCCAGAAGTAGAATATAGTTTTTTTAGATTCCACAATATTGCTCTTTCCACTAAAATCCAACTGCTCCAGAGGCCAAAGCAGGGTTGGAGTGGGGGTAGGAGGCTGATGTAGGGTACCTAGGCTAACCTTCCTATAAGGCACCTCATGGCTGGGAGATAAAGTCACAGATTGAAGAAAAGAAGAATTAGCTAGAAGATATTATCAAGCACCATCTGTTCAGCACATTTATTAAGCTGCTCTCAGTGCTCTGCCCTGTTACATGAAGAGTCAGATAATAGGCTCCTGAGGAAATACAATCCAGAGAGAGACTGAGAAATTGTATAAAACTCCAGAACATTGGGGCACTCCAGCTGCATGGGTTTAGTAAGAACAGACATCCAGAAACACAAAGCAGCTCTTAAAAACACTAGACTGTCTACCCAGGAATTGTCTTTAGCTTGTTTTGTATCTTGTGTCACCCTTTCCTACTGCCCCCACTGTCTAGCTTAAACTCATAAGAGTTGTCCTGGATAACTTATAGAAATGGTTGAAAGGGGTTCCTTAATGTATAATCGAAAGACTTCCTATGGATTATTATAAAATGTTTATTCAAGGTCTAAGAGAATGACACAGTGGGGCTTGACCGAGACATAATACTGCTTCGTACTGACAGAACCTTACAGCTTAGAATGTCATTTCATATCTGTTTCCTCACTTACAGGCTAGGTGGCTAGCCTGTAAACTGCTTGTCATTCCATTTTTCAGTGTTTGAAATGTGAAATTATTGATCTGTCTTCCTCCACGCCCTAGGGAAAGGGTAGAAGGATTCTGGCATTGTTACATGCAGAATTAAGTCTAGCCAGTTGGTCGTATTGAGAAACCATATTAAAGCTATCATTTCTCTAAGTATTTTTAAAACAATGTGTCTGAATTTTTGTCAGTGTTACAGACTTATAAACCAATAATTACTTAACCAGGCCTAAAACAAAAGTATATGTTGAGCAACTGGAGTTAATAATGTGGCCAAAATTTTATTTTTTGAAAAGAATTTTTTTATTTTCAATATTTCTTCTTTAGAAGATAAAAATTATTTGTGAATGATCACTTAAAAAATATGAAGGATGTTGTCACTAAAATTAAGAATAGAACAGCTTTATATTTTAATTAGGTAAATACTCATTTATTGAGTCAAAAGTATATGGGCATTTAGAAGCAGTGTTGGCCAAAGTGTTCACTCTCTTTACAACATGAGTAACATAAAGTGAATTTCATGTAAAAATTATTCTTTGGAAAATGACCATACTCATTGCCTTCTTTCTCTTTGTCTGTCTAGTGAGAACTCAACAGAGGCAATAGCAGTAGATTCTAACAATCAGTCGAAGTCCCCCCTGGAGAAGTTTATGGTCAAACTGTGCACTCATCATCAGAAGCAGTTCATTCGTGTTCTGAACGATCTGTACACTGAATCTCAGCCGGGCACCGAGGACCTGCGACCTTCCGACTCTGGAGCAATGGATGCATCCACTTGCAATGCTGGTTGCGCCCAGCTAGGCACCAAACATAAGGAAAATGATGCTTTGTGTCTCGATATGAAGTCTCCTCCTTCTGCAGACTTGACACTAGGCTCATCAGGCTCTCACAGCCCTCTGTGCTTGGCAGAAAAGGCCATGAAGGAGTCTCCTCCCGAGACAAACTCTGTAGATGGAAGAGAGAATGCCTTGACTGTTGTCCAGAAAGATTCCTCTGAACTTCCAACCACTAAACCTAATTCTGGGAGTTCAGTGGATAGTGTCACTCCGGGATACCTCAGTACATCTAACTCTTCCTTGTTCAACTTCCATCACATCTCCAAGAGCTTGGAGGGGCAAACCACTGGACAGGAGCAAGACACAAGTGTGAAAATGCGTGAGGATGGCAAAGACCATGTGCAGAGTTCAGCTTTAGTAGAAAGTCTAATTGCAGGAAAAATGGCAGCTGAGAATAATGAGGAGAACAGCAGCTGTGTTGTTTCTCAAAGAAATTCATTCAAAGCTTTATCAGAAGAGGCTTGGGACTCAGGGTTTATGGGGAATTCATCTAGAACTGCTGACAAAGAGAATACTTTACAGTGTAGTTCAAAAACACTTTTGCGCCAGGACTTAGAGGCAAGTGAACAAGATTCAAGGCCAAAGCAAGAGAACCATCTTCACTCACTAGGAAGAAATAAGGTGGGGTACCATTTGCATCCCAGTGATAAGGGCCAGTTTGATCATTCCAAAGATGGTCGGTTAGCTCCCAGCCCCATGCCAGCTGTGCACAAAGCATCTAATGGACATTCACGAACCAAGATGCTACCAGCTTCCATCAAGACAGCTCGGAAGGGTAAAAGGGCATCAGGACTGAGGATAAATGATTATGATAACCAGTGTGATGTCGTTTATATCAGTCAGCCAATAACAGAATGCCACTTTGAGAATCAAAGATCAATATTGTCTTCTCGGAAAACAGCTAGAAAGAGTACTCGAGGATACTTTTTCAATGGGGATTGTTGTGAGCTGCCAACTGTTCGCACGCTGGCCAGAAATTTACACTCCCAGGAGAAAGAAAGCTGCTCCACCCTGGTGTCAGAGGCAGTGGTCACTACCAAGCAGACGTCGGAGGCCGTGGTCACTCCCAAGCCGACGTCAGAGGCTGTGGTCACTCCCAAGCCGACGTCGGTGGCGGTGGTCACTCCCAAGCAGACGTCGGAGGCAGAGGTCACTCCCAAGCAGACGTCGGAGGCCATGGTCACACCCAAGCAGACGTCGGAGGCCGTGGTCACTCCCAAGCAGACGTCGGAGGCGGTGGTCACTCCCAAGCAGACGTCGGAGGCCGTGGTCACACCCAAGCAGACGTCGGAGGCGGTGGTCACTCCCAAGCCGACGTCGGAGGCGGTGGTCACTCCCAAGCAGACGTCGGAGGCCGAGGTCACTCCCAAGCAGACGTCGGAGGCCGTGGTCACTCCCAAGCAGACGTCGGAGGCGGTGGTCACTCCCAAGCAGACGTCGGAGGCCGTGGTCACTCCCAAGCCGACGTCGGAGGCGGTGGTCACTCCCAAGCCGACGTCGGAGGCCGTGGTCACTCCCAAGCAGACGTCGGAGGCGGTGGTCACACCCAAGCAGACGTCGGAGGCCGTGGTTACACCCAAGCAGACGTCGGAGGCCGTGGTCACTCCCAAGCAGACGTCGGAGGCGGTGGACACTCCCAAGCAGACCCTTGTAATTTCAGCCCCGAGACCTATTGTAGATGTGCAGCTTCCCAGAGAAGACAACACTGAAGAGCCTAGTAAAGAAATAACCTCCCTCAAGGAAGGAGACAGAAATGATTCATCTGGAAAGGAATCTCAAGAGCCCGAGGTTTGCCCCACAGTGAATAAACCCAATCCAAGCAGCTCGCCAAGGTCAGAGGAAATGACAGCCTCCGGCCTGCTGTGGCCTATCCCTGCTTGCCTTCCTAAAGAGGACATGCTCGAAGGCAACTCCATGGTCTCAGTTCCTATGGCAAGTGGGATATCTTCCCCTGAGCAAGACCAACAACCAGTTGAACTGCTGGATACAAAGGAGATGAATGAACCTGAAGACTGTCACCTGGTTCCCTCTACTGAGAGCATTTCTGAGGAAGGCAGTGAAGATGTTGTTTCTAGGCCTTGTTCTTCTCCTGAAACAGTCTGTAGAGTGGAAAGTCCTCTGTGCTCAGAAAATCAAAGTCCCCCAATGCACTTGGAGCCTCCCGCGAGCCTGGGAAAGGCTGAGGATGAACAAAGCATCAGTACTGAGGCCGAAACTGAGGATGTTCAGGAGCTATATACTGAGAGCAGCACTTTTACTAAGGAAAACCCCAGTCAAAGTGAGGAAAGTGAGACAGCAGGTGATACAGGAAAATCAGAGGAAGAGGGCAGTGATATAAAACATCCTTCAGAAAAAGATCTGTGTGAACAAAACATTGACTCACCTGAGGAGAACTCCGACAAGAAGAAGAAAAGTAAAAAATTCCCCGAGGCCTCTGACAGGTGCCTAAGAAGTCAACTTTCAGATTCTTCCTCTGTTGACAAGGGCCTAAGGAATCAAAGTTCAGGTTCTTCCTCTGTTTGTCCTGAAGTCAAGGTTTCTAAAAATCCTGGTGCAAAACGTTCTAAAAAAGAAGGGTACCCTGGTGGGACAACCCCTGAGAGCTTCCTGACCGAGGGTCTCCATCCAAAAGCTGTGGAGGACACCGAGAACCTGGATGCTAATGAAAATCCCTCTGAGAAGGATGCTGAGTGGGAGAATGAAGGAGGTGGGATCATCACCAGGCAGACTTTTAAAAACATGCTGGCGAAAGAGGTGCAAGGGGAAGAAGGAGGTATTTTCCCCAGCAGCGATCCTGCAACTATAGTTGGCCAGCCCCTGCCTGGAGAGAGACTGGAAATCTATGTCCAGTCTAAGTTAGGTGAGAAAAATGCTCATGACCCCTTAGAAAGTGTCCCGTGTACTTTACCAGAGCAATCAGAAGAGAACCGAGGACCTCCTCCTGCACAAGATGTGGAGGAGGTTGTAAATGAGGTGGACAGTGCAGACACCCAGCATAAAGGTGAGCATAGCAATGTGCCAGCCAGTGCACTTGGATTGTCAGTTAGTGGAGGTGGTGACACTGCTGGACCCCCAAAATGGGCACCAAGGCTCACAAGACAGACCTCTTTGACCTACAACCTAAGACATGCTCATTCTCTGGACCCCTTGGATACTACAAAAGTGACTTCAGAAAAGGAAGCAGCACAAGAAAACCCAGCACCAAAGGACGATGAAGCTTCAGAGAGCAGAGATTCCTTAGAAGAGGATGATGTGGAAGCAGTGGTTGATGACCAGCCAAAGTTTGTGGAATGGTGTGCTGAGGAGGAAAACCAGGAGCTGATCGCCAACTTCAACGCCCAATATGTAAAAGTTCAGAAGGGCTGGATCCAGTTGGAGAAAGAAGGCCAGCCAACACCAAGAGCAAGGAACAAGTCAGACAAACTGAAGGAGATTTGGAAGAGCAAGAAAAGGTCACGGAAATGCAGGGGTTCGTTGGAGGCTCAGAAGCTTTCTCCTGTTCAGATGCTGTTTATGACAAACTTTAAACTATCTAATGTTTGTAAATGGTTCTTAGAGACAACTGAAACCCGGTCTCTGGTAATCGTGAAGAAGCTCAATACTCGTCTTCCAGGAGACACTCCCCCTGTCAAGCATCCTCTTCAGAAATACTCACCTTCCAGCCTGTACCCCAGTTCAGTACAGGCTGAACGCCTGAAAAAACACTTGAAGAAATTTCCCGGAGCTACTCCTGCTAAGAACAACTGGAAAACACAGAAGCTTTGGGCTAAATTTCGAGAGAATCCTGACCAAGCAGAGCCAGAGAATGGCAGTGACCTCAGCATTGGCCCCGGTTCTGAAGACAACAAAGAGGAAGTCAAGGAAGGTAGAAATAGCCATCCTCCCACAAGCTCACCTACTCCAGCCAGTACCCGGATCCTTAGAAAATATTCCAATATTCGAGGGAAGCTCAGAGCCCAGCAACGCTTGATCAAGAATGAAAGAAAGGAAAGCCCAGTCGGTCTGGCTGTGGAAGGTAAACAGACTTGTAAAAGTGTGTGCATCAACCCTCTGATGTCCCCCAAGTTTGCCCTGCAAGTGGATGCAAATGGGTTTCCCATTAAGCCCAAGAGAACTGAAGGAATGAAAGGGAAGAAAGGGAAGCAGACGCCTGAAATCTTGCCGAAAACAGAAGTTCAGAATAAACGCAAGAGGACCGAAGGTGGCAGCACTCAGGACAGGAAGGACAGGGGACCTGTGATGAAAGCCAGCAAAGAAAAGAATATTGATGGAGCCACCAAAACCCCTGCTGCCAAGAAACCAGCTGCAAGGGACAGGGTCAGCCAAATGTCCAAAAAGATATCTTTGAAAGAGAATAAAGTGAAGAATCCTAAAAAGTCCTCTGGGAAGAACCGCCCTCCCTCCAGGAGAGAAAAAGAGAATACAAACAAAAGACCTACCCAGCCCACTGCCTTGGAGACAGTGACAAAACCTGCAAAGCAAAAAGGGGCAGGTGAATCCTCTTCAAGGCCACAGAAAACCGCAAACAGGAAGCCGAGCAGTGGAAAGGCTCGGGCCAGACCCTCGACGAAAACCCCAGAGAACAGTGCAGCCCAGAGGAAGCGAAAGCTGAAGGCAAAGCTGGACTCTTCCCACAGCAAGCGGAGGCGGCTGGATGCAAAGTGATCGAAGGGTGGTAGCCAAGAGTAAAACTGTTCTATAGAAGTAACCCTTTATTTTGCATTAACTAAATTCGCTTTTATAAGCTTATCAAGCCTTTCAAATCTGCAGTTAATGAAGACCACCACACTTTAGATGTCAGAAAATGCATCTCAGATGGAGAAGGGAACTTGCAGAGTCTTTCTCTGAGGCTGAGTAAGGGAAGTTATATATTATATTCTGGTTGTTCCTTGGGTTTTAAACTTGGAACCAAGCAGTTTTAGTTTTTAAAAGTACAGTGCCTTATTTATCCTTTTTGTGTTTAAAATTTACAAAAGCTAAAAAGCTGATCTATGTGATTAAAGGCTTGTATTTTATACTTGATGCACAAGCACTTGTACTGTAGCCGAGAAGACCACCATCATGCACATAAAAGTAGCTTTCCAGCCGCTCCCTGCCATGTCTGTACATGAACAGATGCTCCTCTTTGCAAACCCCAGCAGTGAACTTCCCTCTCTGTCTTGTTTGTTTAAATGATATTTGAAAGCTAAACCAAATCATTTTTATGGTATGTGGAGAATGCAGAGGGCATTTATAATTGTTGTAAAAGGCTAATATTTCTGTTACCCTTTTTAAAAACTCGTATTCATTGTTGGTCACTCCTCTTACTTTTGATTTTTCTCACTTGAAAAAGATGGATTCTAAATTATGTGCCCATGAGACAAAACGTGTGTTATCAGGTGTGAATTTTGGTTCATGACCTCTAAAAAGTATTTGCATTACTTGTTCTTATCATCCTTTTCATTTTTGCATTTTTGGCCTTTTAAGCTTGCTAGCATTTCAGCAGGGTTTTGTTTTTGTTTCCCCCACCCCCACCCCGCTGTAGCTATAATTTGCCAATTAGGATAAGAGTAACAATTCTAATTTTCTTTTTTATCCTAAGTACTTTTATATTCAAAGAAAGCCAAAATGTTATTTCCGGTAATAGAAAAGTTTAGGAGTGTGCGTGTGCTTGTGCATTTAGGTGCATTTGCCTCTGGCTCTCAGCCACAAATGTCTCCCAAGCCTAGTTCCACAGTAAAAATTTTCTCTTCCCTGTGTGCAATGCTAGGGAGTTCATGAGCTGGGTAATCAACACAGGCCACGTAGTCAAATGTGGCCCGGGGTTTCTATGAGTATCCCGCAAACTACTTTGGCATTGGACTCAGAAAGGTCAAAAGAGCACAGAGTTATGTAAAGGTCACAGCAAACTTGCAGTTGGAGGAAGCGGCTTCCATCTCTCATAGTGGGCCTACAGGCCCTGCGCCTGGAGCTGATGTTCGTGTGGATGTACATGGTTAGAGTGGGTATCCGTTCTGATTGGTTAGCACCATACTCATAGTTCACGCTTGTAGTATCACTCCTGCCTCTGCCATGTCAGGCTCAAAAGTGAGAGCTGCACTATTTGTAACTGATAATGTTTGCCTTTCCCAAGTGAAGCCTGAAATGGGTACATTGGCTTTACCTTGGTGCCTATAATATTGCTCCATCTTAACAGTGTGTACTCAACATTTCCATTGGGCCACTCTACAAAAAAAGCTTGGTTGTTAAAGCCTCAACCAGCTTCTCTAACATGCTCTGTCACCAAAATAGGCTTGTATGGATAGTTGCTACTCTGTCTTTTCTATTGAAAATTGTTCCATTTAGATTGTTGAGGTCAGTTTAGATAAATCAGAATGACTTTTGTTCGTGCTTTACTTCATTTAGATCATGATAAAGCAGGCCTTCTACCCAAGCTGTAAAAGGCTTGCTATATATGTACAATGAAAACTTCTGATGATTGGTTAGTACTGGAGAAAAGCATTTGATTCATGGGAAATTAAGAACTGTGTTGAATTTCATAGATAGTGAAGCTTGTTATCTTCAGTAGAGCCTTGATTTTTTTTTTTTTCCCTAATGTCTCCTCTTTCCCACAAGCCTCTTTTTTTTTTTTTTTTAATCTTTTTAATATCTTTGACTATGGCCATTCAAGAGCTACCTATATTAATGAAACTGCTGAGTGTGTATGTTGGCAACCCTTTCTCAGCATTAAGTTGCACAGAAGCATTAATATGTTTTCAGTAAGTTCATTTAATCTTTAAAAAATGGTTTTAAAGTTTAAAGTGTCTTTTTGTAGAGTTGTCACTGGATATTGTTTTTGTGGTGACTTACAGCTGAGGATTGCCGATGTCAGGTATGCTGATTCCTGTACATACGTTCAAGGTGCCCCCTTAGCTGCATATAGACTACCTTGGAAGGATGCTTGTATTAGGTTAGAGAGAGGTGTGAGGCAGTAAGTGGGTGGAACTGTTCCAGTTCCAGGTTTATAATTCATTCCATTACTGTGCTGAGTTCTTTCTCTTGTAAAAGCTTACTTCAAGATAATAGCCTTCTCTCTCATTCTAAAAAGCATTTGAAAAAAGTTATCAATATGTATGTATTTATTTATACACCTAACAATGCAATGGATCATCTTTAAAATCAATTTACACTTTATAGTAGTGACTACATTTAAATAGACTGGGATTCTACCTAATTATGAGATTAAAAGTTTAGAATTATTTTTGTATTTGTTGAATCTTGTTTTTCCTGATTCAGTTAATTTTGCTAATAGAAGGAAGAAAGAAAAAACAAACTCAAGGGCTGACTCTGGAAGGCCCTTGTACACTTACAGCAAACCCTGTCCCCCAGACACCTGCAAGCCCCAGGCTTGACACTGACTCAAGTCTCCCCTTGTCTCCCCTCTCTTGCAAAGACCTCCTTCTCATCGCCATCTTCACAGTATGGCTTGCCACCAGGTGCAAGGGCAGTCTGTCCCACATTCTGGATCCCAAATCAGAAGGGAATTCTGCTCCTCGGCCTGTGCTCAGTGAAGTCGCTGTCCCAATGCTAGAGCTGAAGTGGATGACTAGAGACCACTGGCATGACCTCTCAGCTTTTGGAGGAGCTGGGAGCTGCCTGGGCACCCATCGCTGAAGCTCCCCCGTAGCTCCCCAGAGCCGGGCCTTCTTCTGGAGACCCACTTTCTATCCCATGAGGCTTCCTGGGTCTGGGAGGACACCATGGAGACTGCTGCCCCAGTCGGGTCTGGGCTCACCCCGGCACTGCTACATGTAGCAGCAGTCTTGCAGCACAGCAAGAAGGCCACGAACCTTTGTTCTGCTCTTGAGGCTTCCTGCATAGGAATGTTCTTGGTGTCTGTTCATCTGCAATTGCTGGTTCCTTCAGTCCCTTAGGTAGGCCAGTTCTATTGTGTCTGTGTTTTATTAAAGACTTCTACACAAGCCTTACCTAAAAAATAATCTGAGGCTGTGGCTTTCGTGCCTCACTGTTGCTGTAGCATATGGGTAGAGGTGTGCAGTTAGTCATCCCTTCACACGTGCAGGGCTTTTGATTGAGCCCTCAACAGATCACATACTGGGCAGGTGAATTTCTCACTGTTCAGGCAGGTCATCAATAAAACACTTCTAGTTACATAGACCTGAAGTTTGGTCTCTTTACTGCCTTGTGATGGATTCTGTGGTGAGGGCAAGAGCTGTCACTCATTTATGGGCAGCATGCCTATTGCTCAGTGGACCTAAGAGCCGATAGGAAAGGGCAACGTACTATGTGATGCAAGCGAGAGAGGCTCTAGTGTCACCAGCAACCAGTCTGGGGGCTTGTCATCACACCTGGGACTGGGATGGAATTTCCCAAGATGCTGGCCCAGGGACCACACCGAGTCCTTTTGGTTTTAGAGCTCCCTTTTGGCTTAGAGATGCTCTATCAAGAGTCTGCAGTCTGTGTGGTGGTCAATCTTTTGCAAATAAAAGTGTTGGAACAAAGCTATACCCATTTGTGTGTGCATTGCCTGTGGCTGCTTTCCTGCTGAGCTGCCACAGAGACAGTGTGGCCCACAAAGCCAGATATTTACTATCTGGCCCTTTAAGAAAAAGTTTGCTGATCTTGCTTGAGAAAATTACCTTTTCAGAAACAAACATTCCCTGATGTATCTTCTCCTTTCTGCTGCCTCTTTGCCTCTTTGTCCTCTTCTTTTCTTTGCCCTCTTACCTCAATTTTGTTCACCCTTTTACATTTCTTTATTTCTTCTCGCTGCAAAAGAGACAGGTTACATCATTGCTTTAGCACATTCAATGCTAACCGTCTCCTGAAACTTGAGCTACCTTAGCCTCATCTCTTCCCTTCAGAATCACCCATCTCAATAACCAAAATGAGGTCCCCTTTAGCCAAGAGTCAGAACCCATGAGCAAATAGGAATTCAGAATTCTAAAACAATGAGACCGAGGCCTCTCATTTCACTATTTTTGTCATAGACCCGATGCCAGCCTCACTTCTTGTTTATTGCTAAAGTAAGCCAAGATTTTGTCTCTTTCAAAATTAGTTGGATGTTATTTTCTGAACCTCACATTTAGATATGGAAAAAGACTCCACAGGGGGAAACAAAGTCTAATCACAAACCCAAAGCCTTGTATGCTATGTTATATTTGGGGCCAGCTTCTAGGAAAATAAACAATTGGCACTGATATTTTTTTCAGCCGCATGCTCTTTTTTCAAAATAATTCTATTAAGGGCAAGCCAACAAATAAAAAAGTAGAGGCTTGGAATGCTTTAGAAAAGAGTAATAGAAATTTTGAACATATTCTAACCTGAGTGTGACTGAGAGTCATGGTTAGTAATCTTTAGATAAATCCAGTCAACTTCCGAGCTGTTAGTCTTCTGCCTTCCCCAAAACTCAAGGATAAGTTTCTATGCTGTTTTTTAAAATGAAGTTGACTGTCAAGGTGGTGAAAAATTTTTGTATCCCCAAAAGAAGGGAACTGTTTCAGTTGTTTTGAAACATAATTATCATTTTGAATTCTTAGCTATAAATTTTTATCTTCTTATGACCTGATGCCCCCTGAAATACAAGCTTTTTCTGTAAGTATGAAATCACGTTTATATATATCATCACATTGGCAAGGCCATCCTCACATCTCAGCAGTAAGCACCGTTCCCCAAACTGTCTTCAGGGAAAAAATAAAAAGGTTATTGTATCTAAAACAAGCAGAATTATGGGAAGACTTTGAGGCAGCCATCAATATAATCATCCCGTGAAACATCAAAACAAACTGCTAAATTCTACAGTACATGGATTGGGAAACTTTGACGGCCCAACCTTCAGGTCAAAACCCAGAACTCATGCTGCTCCCGGCTCCGGGCCCT